TTTGGCCATAACCCCCATACCCAATACAGCGAAGGGGCTTTCCAAGAAGAGTCCGGTCAAAGGGGGTGACAAGGCTCCTGAGTTGGAAGCTGCCACGATGGTCGACACAGACATTACACTTGCAGTGTTGTAAGCAACTAGGAAAATGCAACCGGTAAAGTTATCCCGTGGTCTGCGCAATGACATTTTTTGTGCAACTGATTGCATTTGAGCATTCATAATATCGTGGATGGACAGACATAAGCATTAAAACAAGTTGGAAGAGGGCAATTTGTAATTGGGAGCTTGCCTAATTGTGCATATTAGATAAATGGTTACTCCGACTACACAATCCACAAAGCCATCACTCCAGTCATGAAGAAGGATCCTCTTGAGGAGCCATTCAAAACCATCACCTTACCCTTACATTGCGGGGGTCACAAAAAAGATCTCCAAAAGCCTGAATAAACACAAGACCCAGGTCCGATTCAACACAGTACATAAAATCCGTGATCTGGTTCCGTCTGTAAAAGATGTGGTTCCAGACATACAGTGCCTCTATGGTAGCAGCTACATTGGAGAAACCAAACGACATATCTCGGACCGCATCCGTGAACATAAAGCAAACCTAAAACACGGTAGGACGAACTCCTCAGCCGTGGCAGATCACTGTTATAATTCAGTGGGCTCACATGACATTGACTTCTCCAAGACGGAGGTTATCTGCAAGCCATCCGGCTACCATGAGAGATTCGTTCATGAGGCCATCCACATATACAAACACAGAGACAATTTCAACCGAGAAGATGGATTCTGGCTTAGTAACCACTGGAAAGATGTTATAAACCATTTCGGTTCTTAATTGAGTGTATTTTACGGTGACCTTCAGACCGCAGTCCATTCGCTGGCACTGCCTCTTAGTACCTTTCACACGACGGTCAATGGTATGGTTTATAGCATATATAATAATAATTAATATAACAGTGTAATGTTTAACATAATTCATAAGGCAATATATAGTATCGTAATTGTATAGTGAATATACAGCAGTGTGGTATATAGTAGGGTTGATAGAATAAGACAGTGTAAAGTTACAAGTCTAATATTTTATAGTCTAAAATATAGGGTAGTATATAGTAACGCATTGTATAATTCAAAGGTGTAATTTTGTCTATGGATATGATATTGTGCCATGTAGTTTAGATTGGAAGCTATAATATTGTATTGTATAGTAGTGCAGTTTATAGCAGAGTTATAACGCAACAAAGGACAGAGCAGCACACCTTGGCTGTTCCCTTATTTCCTTTTCTGTGTGCTCGGTCACCACCCTCCTCCGATCCGGTGGTGGTGCTGGGTGACACGCTAATTCATATGTTAATTCCGCCCACACAGCTTAAAAAGACGCGGTCCTTGCTTGGCAGTGTTCACTCAAGCGCTGTCTTCTGGCCAGTCCTGTTTATTCACCTGAAGAAGGCTACTTGTGTTGTGGCCGAAACGTCGTGACAATCTTATTTTATTATGTTTTATTTTTATTATTTTATTTCCGTTCTACGTGACTTTACCGAAAGAACCAAGAAGATAAATGAATCTAGTTCACAAATGACAGGTGAACTCTCAAGGCCCTCGCTAGCAAACCTGCATCTGAGCCGCTTAGTTATCGCCTTGAAGCAAAGTTGGAATGCTGCATAGGTGTTTTTGTTTATGTATAAAATAATGCGAATTACATAAAATGCATATATGGGATGGCCTTGTCTGATTCATGATGATCTTATAGCTGCACCACGTGTGGATTGACTGCAGAACGTTGTATCCCAACTCAGCATCCCATGGGCAATTTGATCTGGGATTCTTTTCATTTACTGTATTTTTTTAATGTGTTTTCATTTATTTATTTTGGTACCCCTTTGCGGCTTGATGATAATTCTGGCTTACTGGAGTCTGGATTCGGGAGGTTTTCCTGTGCACACAACTTCACACGCTCATGCAAACATACCAGGTGTAGAGATGCAGTTACGTTTTGAATTACGTGTATGCACACTGTAAATATGACATGCAGACTAATCGCATCAATTGCTTTCAGAAAGCACTTATTAAGGCTGGTATGGTGCACGAGGCAGTGGTGTGGCCAGGCCCGTACCGAGCCACGTTTGTATCCCCAGTGCTGATGTTCACACACTGCACCAGCCACTTACTTAATCCTGAGATGACGAAGGGAAAGCCGAGGACAAGTTCCAATGCCATTTGGCACATTTATTTTCAATGGCAATTGAAAACAAACGGGGAAATCCCACTGAGCTACACATCTCTTTTTCAGAAGCGACGTGGCCACAAATGATAGCTCAACGAAGTGGCCTATCACGTGAATATGTATAGCAACCAAATACTCAAAAATTCTAAACGAGTGGTTCTGAACTTTTACCACAGCTTGCACCCCTTTGGCTCTCAATCGTAAAAAAATGTTTATAATGTTAATAAATACTGTACATAGGTTTGATGAAACAAAGTAGTTGTACTCACGCGCCCGTGCTTAATTTGTGTTTTCTATAATTTACCTTCTAAAAAAATCTGGCCACGCCTCGCACCCCCAGAAAGGGCATCTCACACCCCCAGGGGGTGTGTGCACCCCAGGTTAAGAACTACTGCTCTAAACGAACGGGGAGAACATGCACACTCTGAATATACATGCATCAGGGTCGGGATCGAACCCACGACCGCATGCATACCAGGCGAGGAAGTTAACATCTCGCCACCACGGTGCCCAATCATACACGGGCTACTGGGATTGTAGCGCTACGGTGTTATAAAAACACACACAGTCGCAAAAAAATGTAACCGTCGTTATGTGGGTGGCGGACGGTGGACGCATTCTCTCAAAGAATGCGAGTTCGTGTGGTAGATATGCCAAAGGTTAATGCTGAGTAAGATTGGAGGCCGACACGCTTCATTACTATTCAAGGCAGTCGGGACCAGTGGGATCCCCAGATGCATAAAACCATTGGATGTGGATGTCAGTGCGGAGATGTTTAAAACCGAACGACAACATCCTACGGAGTTTCTGATAACATGGATTATTTTCCAAATGTCTCAGACTTTTTATGAGATGTCAGAATGCATTAACTCAGGAAATTCCTATAGGTAGCCGACCTATCGGAGAGAAGCATGCTGCGCCAGCGTGCATGATTTCAATGTAATACACGTCAGCGTGATCCGTATTACACGTATACTGAACGCACAGAGATCACTGCACTGAATGCTTGAGTGGCAGCTCACGGCACATTAATGTCAGTCATATCATGTGCTAGCCCAACGTAAGGTTGCCTCATATGTAAATGCCCTGGCTTAGTTAAGGCTCACATCTGAATGTCGCCACTGTGAGCACATGTATGCATGTTTAACTTCTTTACCCACCGTACGTAGCCAACTATACTAATTGGCGGTAGGGGGGGGGGAAGAACAGCAAACTACACACAAAAAGCAGTGAGAAAAAAAATTAATGTTTCAATCTAAATTTAAAAAGTGCAGAGCTCCAGTGGATTCTTAACATCGGAAGGAAGATCGTTCTGGACAGCCACAAAAGCACACGCGAACACGTGCGGTGCAGTGACCGTCTAAGTTCGACGGCTAGTTAAAAGCCGCTGCGAGGATGACCAGAGTTCACGTGATGGTTTATGCTCCTCGACGAGATCAGCGAGGTATTGTGGTTCATTTATGGCAAGCACCACGCTTACTACCAGGTTTGACTCTGACGAGAAAACATTTTGCACAGACACTTCGTTTAATTCAATTGTTCTTCATGCATTTCCATTGGTTGCCAATTATAACATTATGAACATTGAATTCCATATTAGCAATCAAACTATGAGCGCCTGATGTAGGCCCGGGAGAATGGGCTATATCAGCAGAACGGACTATGATCATCAGTTACACTATTTTTTTCTGCTACCCGAGTGTAAAACGCACTCTTAATTTAAGGTGCTGTTTAAGTGTTGTCGTGAGCATTGCTGTTTAACACGTAGTAGGCTTTCGCGACCAATATTATTCATAATAAAGGTTTTTGGGTTAGATCGTGTTTATTTATAAATGTGTCATAACCCTCCACCACCCGACACGGCCAATCAGCAAAAAAAGTGTCACGTTGACAAAAGACAAATAATTCACTACTTTAGCCCACCGGTGTGTTGAAGAGTGAATTCACAACATTTACAGTTTGAATACGACGTTTCGCTGGTAATTACATCCTGCATCATCGGGCAATTCGCCAGAATGATAAAGCCCTCGCTTGCTCCCGGTCTTAAATAGAGCAGCAGGGTGATGTCATCATTTAACTCATTCAGGTGCAGTAATTTGAGGCGGAGGGGGGGGTATTGCAATTATGTAATCGATTAGTAATCAGTCAATGGTTATGATTAGTAATGAGTTGTAGATTAGTAATTAGTTGTAATGTGTGTTAGTGATTATATGCTATGTTAGTAATCCGTTAATTAGTATGTGTTTCTCCTATAAGGAATTGTAATATGTATTATTTAATAATACGCTGACAAGATTCAGTTATTTGATACTAAATTAATTCCCCAACCCACCCCAGATGGTGAAGATTTTCGATTCAGAAATATCAGCCCTTGTATTGTTGCACTCTATGTAGACTCTCGTCTCCTGCGTTGTGAACCTTTATACATGGTGTGATTCCTCTGCTGTAATTATTGCGCGTATGTGCTTGAGGTCGTCACCCATGATGGAAGCCAAATAATGCTCAATTATCGTGGCAGCCGCGTGTAGGCCATGTGTGCCCGAGGTTCACGGTCACATTGATCAAATTTACTCGAAAATTTACCCGGTTGAGTAAAACCGCATCGCAACATCGTCACCCACTGCGAAACTACTGCAGACTATGCTCATCCGTGAAAGATAGCGCCTTGAATGGCACGGAAGATGCCAACGTTCGCAAACGATTCGAGTCGACCGTGAACGTAATCCTCCCCTCCTTCCACCCCGTTTGACCTGGAATCGCCTTCCTCCTCCAGACGCCTGGACGCCAACCACCTGTCGCGCTTGCCGGCGGGAAGCCTGCGCGGCGTGGCCGGCCTGCGCCACCTGTGGCTGGACGACAACGCGCTGACGGAGGTGCCCGTGGGCCCGCTCAACGAGCTGCCAGCCCTTCAGGCCCTCACGCTCGCCCTCAACCGCATCGCGCACATCCCCAACGGCGCCTTCCGCAACCTCTCCGGCCTCGTCGTGCTGTGAGTGAGGTTGCCTTCTCCCGCGTCGCCGTGAGGCAGGCTAGCTTTACGCCAACTGATGCTGCGTCGTCGCAGCGATAATTCTGCTCAGTACGAGGGGAAGCACAGGCTCAGGCGTTTGGCGCGTGCCCTTGGCTGAGAAGGCAAGGGTGCGACGCTAGCACGGGTGGCTACATGTGTGTGGTGCAAAAGAAGTTCAACATATATATATGCATCGATCGTTTCAATGGCGAAAGCTTCCCAGATTGTTGAACTTCTTTCACACCGTTCGTAGCCAACCGTACCATCTCATTGGCTCGTATTCAGGGATTTTGCTTCAGTCGTTCCTCTCATGGTGTGAGTGTCAAGGTGCAGCCATGAAAATTGCTCGCTCATGCCACTGCTGTCAGAAGGATCTTCACGAGGGAGAGGTTCATTTTCCCTGACATCTTCAGAATCAGAATATGCATTTACATTGGAGGAATCCTATGAGCTGTGAAGCTATTTCTCGCAGATGTCTTGGAGGAGGTGGGAATACCCACCCTTTACCCACCATATACAACCTGCAGATCGATTGTGGGGCACTCTAATATACTGCTGGGTGGACAGAGGCTGGCATGGGGGGGGGGAGGGTTAAGTTAAACAGCTAAATATGTTACGATTGTTGCTAGAGATTTGTATATGGGCATCAATCCGGTTACTCGTGTTTTACAATTTCTTTTCATGTGGTTGTTGGTCATACAAAGCAAAAAACAGCAAAAACCATGTTAACAACTGTAGTTGATTATTATTACTTTTACCCATCTGTAAGTATATTGGATTATGTGTTCACATTTTCCTTTGTTATTTTTTTAATTGCTTGACAGACAGTTAATAGTCATTTTTGTTTATTGTTTTTGTCCAAATTTCAGTTCAAACTGCCATTCCGCAAAAGGTGCATACTCGTTCACATGCAGTTATATGTTCCCACTATAAAACACAAATTCCTGAAACATGAAGTGAATGTAATTATACGCCACACACATATTGATATTTATAATGCAAGTATTTATTCATCATGGTGGCCTCAGAGTTGTTTCTGCACAATAAAATAAACAAGCACTCTGAGTAAATACAGCAAATGAACATACAAAAAATGTATCCTGAAATATCACACTCACGCGGCATTGAGTGCAGCAGTGATACGTGTAAACAAATCAACGGAGGTCACTGAATTCCCCTTTAGCCAGGACGTCGTGTTTTGGAATCCACTCGGCGATCACGTCCAAATCTAAACATTCCACTGCCGTCGCTCTCCAACGTAATTAAATCGTTTAGTTTTAGTGGTGCATAATAAAACGTTCAGTTGTATATAGCAGCGTCCATGCAAAGTGCATCTCAGACTTGCCGAGGAACCACAGACAAGTGGGAAGATAGCCGGAGCTTTACAGTCCTTAAAATATCTTCGATACGAGATGTCTGATATTAAAACAACAACAACAACAACCAATTCTATGAACATCTATTTCTCCCATTATGGCGCCTCCAATGGCATAACTTGTCCTGAACTTGAAGAGGACGTGTCAACAACACAAACGCACATTCCCTGGATTTACCACTCTGTGTGCTTCCAGTAATGGCATTACACTTGATTGAACGGCTGAACATGATTTTTGTCAGGGTCAAATGTGAAAATAAACACTGTCTCCAAATGTGAGCAGACAGACACATTTCTACAGATCTATGGAAGGTAATTAATATCAACGAAAAAGACCAACATCAGCCTGATATACGTTCCAGGGGAACTCTAAAAGATGCCCTTTGAGGCTTACCTTCAATTATTCAAACACATGAAACCATCCCATTCAATAAGTCATAAACTAATCCAATCATTTTAACCATCCTCCCTGGGGCTGTAAAAGTCACATGTGGCCTTAAGCGAGGCCGCTGTGGTGGAATGAAAGTGTGCCCGAATCTTGGAAAATGCATAAATACGCGTGCTTGAAAGTCATCTGTCACTTGTGCATTTACACACTTCTCTCGAGCTTTGGATCGAGAATTAATGAGGTCGGTTGGAAATCACAGTGCTCCATGTGGTGGAGTATTTTCTTTCATTGCCTGCTTGTGAATTGGGACAGTGTTTGATTTGTCGCAGAAAGCCGGGAAGGCTGGCGGACGACAAAGGAAAATGTAACAGCAAGGCTAGAGGGACTCTTAAAACCACTGCAGCAAAACTGATAAGATTTGCATCAACGCCATTTAGTCCAGTTTATTTATCTACTTCAATTCTCCTGCAACCTCCTAAGTGGCGATAAAATTTAATTGAACTTCATGTCTATTGAAATCCACGCAATATATATTCTGCGCACATAACGGATACACATATATGCGGCATGGTTGCAAACATGCAGACTTTACGTGTGCATGCGTTACATGTAGTGGGTTCGACGGAGGCACGTAAAAAACTACATCATATGCACAAACGTAGTGTACATTTCTACACACTTAAATACTGAAAAATAGGTTAAAAAGAGACCAAATATTTAGACACTTTGCAATTCTAATTGTAATTCACATGCAAGCTGTGTGTGTGTAAACAAACCAGTGGACTGCACACATTCGGAGTGACTGCTTACTCGAATGAGCAATGAGACATCCTCGCAGCGACTTTTGGCGAGCCATCGAACAAAGGTGGTCACTACATCGCGCGCGTTCAGATGCACTTCCGGTATTGGGAAGCCACGAGAGCTATGCACTTTTAAATCATCCAGATTGACAAACCAATCTCTTTAGAACTGCTTTTCATGTTCAGTTTGTTGTCCTGCCCCCCCCTACCTACAATTAGCACGGTTAGCTATGTACGGTTCGAAAGAAGTTTAACACATACAGACAGTACTCATCTTCACTGATGCCTCGAGTCAGAGCTGAACATTCCACATTCCCATGGAAAGGACCGTACGGAAACAACTTCTGTATTCCCTCAATAGACTATTCATTTATCGGCCCATGAAAGATTAAGGCAGCCGAGTAAATATCTTTAATCGCAAAACCACCCATCTGGAAAATCCCATGACAGAGAAAGGTTCAGCTCACGCCACTGATGGCAAAAGGCCCTCCAAACTGTCGAGCATTGAAAACAATTGTGTGATGTGTATAATTTATGCTTTTCTTGTTGAGTAAAAAAAAATATTCAGGACATATTTTCTAAATATATTTACCTTTATATGCATTATCCAGTATTTAAAAGCATAGGATTAGCACAGCACCATTGCAGGACCACGATTAGTTGATGCTCTCAAGTGCAGTTCTGGACCCTGATCAAGAGCATGGGCTCTGATATACAGTGAGGGGAAAAAGTATTTGATCCCCTGCTGATTTTGTACGTTTGCCCACTGACAAAGAAATGATCGGTCTATAATTTTAATGGTAGGTTTCTTTGAACAGTGAGAGACAGAATAACAACAACAAAATCCAGAAAAACCCATGTCAAAAATGTCATATATTGATTTGCATTTTAATAAGGGAAATAAGTACTTGACCCCCTCTCAATCAGAAAGATGTCTGGCTCCCAGGTGTCTTTTATACAGGTAACGAGCTGAGATTAGGAGCACACTCTTAAAGGGAGAAACACAAATGGAAGAAACACAAAAGAACTGTCAATCTCCCTCGGCCTGGGGCTATTTTTAATTTTGTGGATGGAAAATGGAGTGCATGTAAAATGCCCGTAGATTTTATCATTATTAAAGGGGTTTGTCTTACTTTATAGCTACTATTAGGTATCTATTCAAATGCCAATTTGAAAATCCGGTCATCAGAATTTTGTTTATACTTAATTCTCATCAGGCACCGTGATGTTAAAGTGTAGTATCCCACTCTGATCCACTATCTCTCTAGCCTATCTATGTATCTGCTATGAAGAAGGGCCACTGTTCGAAACATTACCTGTTATATATTTTGTTTTATATTCTATTTTATGGCAGCAGGAATCTTGACGAATGTGTTGATTTTTTCATATCCATGAGTCAGTAACGCTCAAAATTCTGCACACATTGTTCAGAAAGCAACTCACCACCGGGCATTGCCCAGCCATCAAGATGGGAGTCTCACACACGTGATGAGCTTCGAGTAATCGTAGGCGTCTACACACGCATCTACCCACTCATAATGTAGAAGTGAAATGCAGAAAGCTGACCCGTGAGATTCGTTTAAGTGGAGGGACAGTGTGGTTAAGCTCATAACATACAATTCATCTTGTCAGCATGCAAGGGTAGACAAAAAATGCCACTGCATTAGCAGTTGCATGAGCAATGTTTGCATGGCTGACTTTTATTCTTTAAATGTTATTAGAATGCCATTGCTTTCTTAGCCTGAATGCTAATTCTTCAAAATAGCCTGAGGGCACTGGGAACCCAAAATCCATCTTCCGGACCATTAACTCTCTCCTCTTCAAATGCAGCCACCGCAATTTTGCCTTACTCTTTTATCAAAGCATAAAAAGTAACTCAGGCTTAGCAATGGTAAACTATTTTAATCTGAGTTTTTTTTTAAATATACATAGTGATTACTACACCATAAAGTGTATAGGCTCTCTTGTCAATCGTTTCAGTTAAGCTACCTGTACACGTTTTAATAAGATAGTAATATTACATGTTGATTAGGGCATTTCAAACCTCCCTTTCCTTGGCGACAGACTGTAGCTTTTCCTGGGGAGTTGCCAGGCGTTCCCAGGCATTCCCAGGCCAGCTGAGGAACATAGTCCTACCAGCGTGTCCTGGGCCGGCCCCGGGGTCTTCGCCCAGTGGGACGTGCTGCCCGGTAGAGTTCCAAAGGGAGTCTATCGGGGAGCATCCTTACCGGGTGCCCAAACCACCTCAACTGGCTCCTCTCCATCCGGAGGAGCAGCGGCTCGACTCTGCGACTCTCCCGGATTACCGAGCTCCTCACCTGATCACGGAGAGTGGCGAGCCCGGCAACCCTGCAGTTAATCCTCATTTCGGGCCCTGGTACCCGCGATCTCATCCTTTAATTCATTACTCAAAGCT